ACACGAAAAACCAATATCCAATCAGCTACCTAAACACATACACAATAATGGAACTACTAAAAATATGCTCTAACCCAAATTATAAATAGCCAAACATTGTGTTATAGAAGCTGGTTAAGCAAACCTTTATATGAATTCTCTTCAATAATATCCATGGTACAGGCCATGATAATCATGGTGGGTAAGAATTTGGCCTTTGCTTTCACTGTAAGTACACAAGTACACCGATATGTCGAATAAAAAAACTAACCATAAAAAAGTTTCAATAATACTATAAAATATATAAATTATAAAATAAATAAAAAATAATAATTTTAGTAAATCTTAGACACTTTATATATATTTATTTTTAAAGGTTATTCATAATTTATAGAGAGATGTTTTAATTTATATTACTTTTATCAGTTTAAACTTAACTTTTCTAATAGTGTTTTTATGTTTGCGTTGAATATTTCAATGATTTTTCAACGTTGAAAAAAGCAGATAAAATTAGAAACCTTATGAATATTAAAATATAGTATTAATAGTATAAATATAGTTACTGAGATTAAAATATATTAAATTTATTTTCAAGGATTCTCAAAGATAAGTTTCAGATATATTTTTATTATGGAAGGTATTTTTAAAGGTTAATTAAATTTTCAAGAAAATTGTAATTGAGAATAGGTATAAGAACATTTTGATTAAATATTTATACTACGTGGAAAAGAAGTAATTTAAATATTTTAGCAAAGTTACAGAATTCACAAATTTGAGTAAAGCTTTATCAATGTAATTGCTACTTTCTAAATTTTATTTGCAACCTTTTGATTTTTGTAGATAAAAACACCATATTAAAAAAAAACCTTTATCATACACAACGCCAAAATTACATCTTTATTTCGAAAAAATAATATATGATTGTAATATATGTTTGCTCTAAAGAATATTTTACGATTTAATATATAAGTTTTTACACTTTTAAGACATGTCTTTTTTTATTGTCAAATTATATTGACAAACTTTTTCAGTTTTTTTTTCTGATCAGTTTTTAGCAGGAAGAATGTTGTCCTCGTTTGTTAGTGTACCAATCTCTCACGTCTTCTCATTGGACGAATATGGCCATGTCTGTATATAAGAGGGGACTAAGGGAATGCGAGTGGGGCCCAGAGCGTGGAGAATTGATGTGGAGACCGTTAAAGTGTTTTTCTACTTGGTTTTTCCATGTCTGGCTGTTCTCTTTGCATTCCTGTGTCACCCGAGTCCGATCCCTACCAACGCTACAATAAAGATAAGTACTGCTTTATTTTATTTAACAAATCGTGAGTTGTTTTTATCTCCTTTTTGTTGTTAGTGTTGTACTCTTGAGTGTACGTTTTTCGGTGTATTAAGTTACTCTGACGGTAGGCCCTAGTATACTCCTTTTTTGTGTGTTAACCCGCAAAAGTATCAATTTTTGTCATTATAATTTTACTTTCAAATACTCTGATGAAGGGGTTTATATTTTCTATCACGACAAGAAACTCTTCCCTCAGAAAATTGTCTTTTATTTATAATTTTACCGAAGGGTTTATAATATTAAAAAATATGGGGATTGTTAATCAAATTGTACTTATATAGATATAGAGCCTGTCAAAAGTTACCCATAGATTGTGCCATAAAAACTATATTTTTCATAATACATCCATAGAATATATGTCAAACACATATAATCTATTAAAGAACATATCCCATCAACATTCAGCTATTTCCTATCAAGAAGTGAGAAACCAAATTCAAGGAATCTCCGTATAAGTAAAAATACAAAAGATCCATATAATATATGGCAAACACCTATAATCTATTAAAGAACATATCCCATCAATATTCTAGTATTTACAATCAAGAAGTGAGGAACCAAATTCGAGGAATCTCCGTATAAGTAAAAATACAAAAGATCCATATAATATATGGCAAACACCTATAATCTATTAAAGAACATATCCCATCAATATTCTGGTATTTACAATCAAGAAGTGAGAAACCAAATTCGAGGAATCTCCGTATAAGTAAAAATACAAAAGATCCATATAATATATGGAAAACACCTATAATCTATTAAAGAACATATCCCATCAATATTCTGGTATTTACAATCAAGAAGTGAGGAACCAAATTCGAGGAATCTCGGTATAAGTACAAACACAAAAGATCCATAGAATATATGGCAAACACTTATAATCTATTAAAGAACATATCCCATCAACACTCTGGTATTTCCTATCAAGAAGTGAGAAACCAAATTCGAGGCGAGTACATCTCGGTATAAGTGCAAACACAAAAGATCTATAGAATATATGTCAAACACTTAAAATTTATTAAAGAACATATCCCATCAACACTCAGCTATTTACCATCAAGAAGTCAGAAACCAAATTCAAGGCATCTCGATATAAGTACAAATACAAAAGATCCATAGAATATATGTCAAACACTTAAAATCTATAAATAAACCTTCTCTTCCCTGATTTATAATATTATAAAATAAATGAAGCTTCCAGGGTTAAGTTTCTTGTTCAAATTTTTATTTGAAAACTCCGAAAGCTTGAAAATAAAAAGTTGTACAAGAAACTCAACCCTGGAAGCTTTATTTATTTTATAACTTAAAATTTATTAAAGAACATATCTCATCAACACTCAGCTATTTACCATCAAGAAGTCAGAAACCAAATTCAAGGCATCTCGATATAAGTACAAATACAAAAGATCCATAGAATATATATCAAACACTTATAATATATAAATAAACGTTCTTCCCTGATTTATAATATTATAAAATAAGCGAAGCTTCCAGGGTTAAGTTTCTTGTCTAACTTTTTATTTGACAAGTCTTAAAGCTTGAAAATAAAAAGTTGCACAAGAAACTTAACCCTGGAAGCTTCATTTATTTTATAACTTATAATCTATTAAAGAACATGATCCATGAACACTCAGGTATTTCCTATCAAGAAGTGAGAAACCAAATTCGAGGAATCTCCGTATAAGTACAAATACACAGAGGTGTAATTAACGTGACAATGATGCAAATCAAATTTGACATACACGGTGGGAGTGTAAACACCAATCTTACAGAAAGGAACGCAAACTCAGCAATGGCTATCATTATCTTTCAATCATATTCACATTGTGGCAACACGTGCCAGGCGACCCCTGGTCTAATCTCGTCGAGTGGCTTATGAATGGACTACCCACCGGATGATTTAGATTTAATTAGAGCTGTCGGTGGATCGATAGATCGGATCAATGGTTCAAACACTACCGCTATGGTGGATTATACCTCGGCCTTACGCCATCCCTCCCCCTCCTATGCTACCCCCCATGCCAGCCAGATACCTAATAAGCGTTAACAAAAGAGATTAAATCCTCTTATTCATAACTATACATAGTTTTATCCTTTTGAAAATAGAGCAATCCTTTTTTAATTCGTTAGAAAATAAAAAAGACATATATTGGATATAATAAAATATTTATTTTGACAATATTTCGGCTGGCTGAACGCCAACCTTTATCGAGGCATTACATTTTTGTATACCCGTATACAAATATATAAGTATTTTATAATTATAAATATCCACGCTGCGCGCGTTTGTTTTTTTGTAAATATTTCTGGTGGGATCAAGTCGATATTATAGTAAGCCCGTTGAAGAGCGATTAACGCTTGAAAGCTAGCGTTTTTTAAATAAAAAAATATACTCATTGTGAAAATATATTTGTAATTTTAATACTTTTTCACAATTCTATCATGAATAGAGAAATATATAAGTATACAAATGTATAAATGTATAAAATGTACAAAAGTATAATAAGTATACAAAAATGTAATGCCTCGATAAAGGTTGGCGTTCAGCCAGCCGAAATATTGGCAAAATAAATCTT